AGAGGTAGCTCAGACTCGGCAGGATTATAAGGGAATGTGCCCTGTAGGAAGTAACAGGGTGCGATCTCAATGGGCGGGAGATCCTCAGGCAGGTTTTTGGCAGGGGGTAAAGAAAGAGCATACCAACTTCAGGATCCTGAAAGAGATTCAGTCCAGAGGGACTGTAGAGTGTGTAGTTGGATATGGTGAGTTGAGGCTGGAGAAATGATTGGGTCAGGCTTAAGAAGGCATTGCAAAACTGGTAATCGAGTCACAGAGAAGCCCTAGAGGGGAGTGAAATGATCAGATTACTTTTTAGTACAGTGGTTTGGTTGCAGTGTCAAGAGTGGATTAAAGGAGAGTAAGGAGATTACAAGACCAGTTGAGAATGCTTTGATAATTTAGGTAGAAACAGTATAAACTAGAGGAGTGGGCATGGGAGTGGAGAAACATGGGTAGCACTCCTGTGCTAAATAAGTGGTATAAAGATCTGCACCTTGTGATGATGGGAGATGGGGACTGACTGAGGAAGAAGAGTCAAGGCTACCAGATTTTGGGCTCAATTAGCTGGGTAGATGGAGGTGTTCTGTGTAGGGAGGGGATACATTTTGGGAGAAGAGGATGAATTCACTTTGGAGATGCTGACCTTGAGTTCTGTAGGAGTGCGAGAGCATCCAAGAGGAGTTATTTGTTAGTCAGTTGTGTATATGAGCCTCAAACCTTAAAAACATTTTTGGGGGGGTGGATGGATATCCAGGACTGGGGCCTGACAGTATGTTGGGTGGTGCAAGGAACCATGGAATTAGGTGAGGTTATCTAGGGAGAATGTTTAGAGTGGAAAAAGAAAAGAGCCTAAGACAGAATCCTGTGTAGCAACTTTACGGTATGAGCCAAGGTAAAGTAACTAAAAAGAAGACCAAGGAGGCACAGAGGGAAGCCAGCAGGAAGCTGTGAGTGTGTGGTTGGCAGAGAGGGCATGGACAGTAGTGTCACATGCTCCTGCGTGGTTAAGTAAGGTAAGAAACAGAATGTAACCCTGATTTAGAGTTGACGAAATCATTAATGACCAAGACAAGAGTGGTAAAGAGAAGTGACTGGGGTAGAAGCTGAGCTCAGGAGAAAGCCGAGTCAGTGGAGAGAGTAAGTGTGAAGCAGTGCAGCAGTTGAGGACAGCACAGACTCCAGAATGTTTTCCTTCTTTTTTTTTTTTTTTTTTTTAAAGAAGGGAAAGTCTTGATCGTTTTCAGATGCTAATGGCAGAGGACAAGTGAAGAGGGAGAAGCTGAAGGTGCAAGTGCAGAAGAATGGAATTGATTAGCAGAACAGGATTTACCCAGAAGGTGGGAGGAAATGAGATTTACGGAATAGATATCAGATTAATCTCAATTTATTGGAGATACCTCAGAGTTAGTGCCTGGAAGCTGTGGGCAAGATGGTCTTTTAATTTCTTCTGTAAGAAAGGGGAGATGTGAAGAATGAGGTGCAAAGCGAAGAGGTCAGAATTTTGAGGAGACTAATTGAGTCATGTTAGGCGCCTGAAACTAATACAGTGTTACATGTCATTATACCACCCGCCCCCCCAAAAAAAAGGAAATAAGAGGAGACACTGGAGCCCACTCTCCCTCCACATGCACACATTGAGGAAAGGCCGTGTGAGGACACAGTGAGAACGCAGCTACCTGCAGGCCAGGATGAGCCATCTCACCAGAACCCAGCCATGCTGGCACTCCCATCTTGGGTTGCCTGCATCCAAAGCTGAGAAAATAAATGTTGTTTAATCAAAAAAAGAAAAAAAGTGAAAAAGAAAAAAGGGACAGAGGTCAAATGGGTAAATAGGAAAAAAATAGCAAGATTATGGATTTAAGCATAACCACATCAGTGATTCTGTTAACATTAAATGATCTAAAAACTCCAAAGGCCAATTGAATGATAATATGCTGTCCACTAAAAACTCACTTTAAATATTAAGACATAGGTTAAAAGAAGAATGAAAAAGGATATCTCTGCAGAGTGTAAGAAGTTTAGAATGATTACATTAGTATCAGAGTACATGTTAGGAAAAGAAACATTGTCAGAGATATAAAGGGAACATTTCATAATGATGAAGTCCGTTCATAAAAATTATTTAACAGTGTTAAGTATGCGTAACCCAATACCAGAAGGTCAAAATCCATGAGATGGAACTGCCAGAACTGAAAGAAACAGACAAATCCACAAGTAGAACCAAACATGCTTCTCTCAGTAATCAGTAAAGTTAGTGAACAAAAATATCAGTAAGTTCTTGGAAGACTTGAATTGAATAATATCAACTAAGTTGACCTTATTGACCCTATACAATCATTAACCCAAGAATAGAATGCACATTCTTTTGAAGAGTACATGGAATATTTACCAGGTAGACCCTATGCTTGGGCACCAAACAAGTCTCAGTGAATTTAAAAGATTTGAAGTCATGCAGAGTAGGTTTTATGACCACAGTGGAATTGTTTTAGTATCAGAAAGAGATTGAGGAATATATTTGGAATATTTGGAAATTGAACAACACTAAATAACCTGTGAATAAAAGAAGAAGTTATTGAGGGAAATTTGAATGAATTTTGAAATGAATAAAAAGGAAACACATCATATCCAAATTTGTGAGATACAGGTTAAAGTAGTACCTGTACATACATTTATAGCTTTAAATGCTTATACTAGAAAAGACAGTACAAACTCGGTCGTCTAAATTTTTATCTTAAACTAGTAAAAGAAGAGCAAATCAAACCTGAAATAATTAGAAGGAAGGAAATACGCAAAAACCCATGAAACTAAAAACAAACCAGCAGTCTAGAAAGTCAGCACGTTCAACGGTGGAGTGTTTCATAAAGATAAAATATTGATAAACTCTGACAAGACTGATCAAAGAAAAAGAGAAATATTACTGATAATCAGCCATGAATGAAAGTATCACTACAGATCATACAGAGAAAGGATAGTAAGGAAATATGCCTATAAATTTGACAGCTTAGATGAGAGGTACAAATTCCTTGAAAAGTACAACTTACCAAAACATAGAAGGAATAGAAACTGAATAGTTTCTGAAAATTCATTATCAAAATTTTTACACAAAGAACATTCCCTGTGTGGTTGCACTAGTGAATTCTGCCAGGCATTTAATCATACACGGATTCTTTCAGATTTCTTAGGTCTGTATGACTTTGATATCAAAATCTGATGAAGTCATTAAAAAAAGGAACTACAGACCTTTATCTCAGGAACATAAACACAGAAATCCTGAACAGAGTAATTAGCACATCAAATCTAGCAAAATATGTAAGGGTTAACACATTATGACTAATGGGGTTTATCCTATGCTTTAAAAAGTTAGTGTAATCGAACATTAAAAAGTTTATAAAGGAGAAAAACCGTATGGTCATCTCAGTAGATGCAGAAAGAATTTTACATCCTCAACACTTACTTTTGATAAAAACTCTCTGTAATAGCAACAGAAGGGAACTTTCTAAATTGGATAAAGTTTATCTACAAAGAACCAGCTAACATTCTTAATGGTAGATAAATAGTGATGTATCTGTAGGATCGAACACCAATCAGCGGGAAAAGGGAGTGAAGTATGGATGCAGGGAACAGTGTGGATGAATCTTACACATATTATACTTAGCTGAAGAAGCAGACACAAGGGATTTCTGTGTTGTGTGTTTAATTTATTTAAACTCTTGAAAAGGACATATCTATACTGACAGAATGAAGGTCAGAAGTTCCTTGAGATTTGAGTATAGGAAGAAGGATCTACCGAGATAGTGTTTAAGTGTCCTCTCTGCGGTAACAGAGATATTCTGTATCTTGATTATTGTGGTTACATGGTGCATAGGGGCACATTTGTCAAAAATTACTGTAATGTCCATTTAAAGTGGATTCACTTTATTGTATGTAAACATTCTCTGAATGAAATTGATTTAAAAATATATCACCAGAAATATATGTGGTTTAAGCTCATGTTGAAAGTAGTTAGGGTAGGTGACTGTACTTGTTAGCATTACATTTCCTAAGTTCATAGAAGTTGTTTCTACTAACTACTTCTCAGATAGTTTTAAATGTGTGATTAGAGGCTTTTGTTGTTTGAGTCGTTATGTTAAAATGTTCAAGACTGGTTTTGGGGTCAACTAGAATTCCATGCAAATGTTGGCTTTGTTACTTTCTACCTGTATGGACTTGGGAAAGGTCTTAACAACTCTTTGTCTATTTTGCTTATTTTGAAAATGAGGAGTAATAGTGTTTAATGTTAAGCCTGTGGGTGATTATGTAAATTAGATATAGTTCATATACAGGGCTTAACAAGTCGCTGGCACAGATTAAACTCTGAATAAATAGTAATTACCATTTTTGTGATTGCCCCGGTTGTTCTTAACTGTTAAACTTCAACAGACTCCTTAATTCAATGAACTGAAATCATGTATTTTTCTCTACGCCTCAACCCTCATTCTGAGATGTTTCCAAAATTTTCTTGGATGATTTTCTCTAGAACTTTTTTCTTAGATTATAAATTACTTCATCCCCAAGTTAAACTGATAAGTCTTGAGCTGTTGATTTTTTAAAATAAAAATTTGCTAATATTACCATTTTTTATATTCAGAAACTCTAATTTTGATCAGTTTGGATCATACAACCTTTTTAAATGATTAACTTTATCTCTTTAATGTTTCTGTCTTCCATCATATCATCTTTGTTCAAGAGCTGTAAATTTTGATATGCTCTTCTTAAGGATCTGGTATACTGTGATTTCCTGGCTTTCTGATGACCAATTTACTAATTAGAAATACTTTAAGTTGTTTTAAACAACATTGCAAAAAAAAAAATCCAGTATAAAGTACTTCTTACTCTTTGGGATATTTTGGTACTCAACTACTGTATTATTTTTATTCTACCATTTTTTATTAGGTATAGAGTATAAACCCTATGAAACGGGAATATCAAGGTTTTTGTGATTTTAAGTGTCATTCTTTAAAAACAAACTATTCTTTCAGAAACCGTTTTGACTGGGTCTACCTCACCTTCACCCTCTCCGGGAAATGGGAATGAAGCTGCACCTGGATCAGTCACCCAGCCAAAGAAAATCCGAGGAGTTGGATTTGGAGATATTTTTAAGGAAGGCTCAGTGAAACTTAGAACAAGAACGTCCAGTAGTGAAACAGAAGAGAAGAAACCGGAAAAGGTAGGCATGATGAGCTTTCCTTAGACGAACGCCATGCATTCTCTCATTAAGCACTTTTTAAAATGTAAAAGTGAGTTTACAGCTCTGTAACCTTTTCTTTTCTGAGATTGCCAGTAATAGATTATGAGATTATGAATGAGAAGAGTGTCTTCACGTTTAAGTGACTTACTTTGACGTTTGATCCTTTATAAAATTGCGTTTTCTTTTTGGTAAATTTAACACACACTTTTCTTAGTGGAAACTTCAGAGTTATCATTGTGTAAAAACAGAAAAGGCAAGTTTTTTTTTTTCCTTTTAAAAAAGTTAAAATTATATGTTTTTTTCTTTTAATTTGAAGTAGACCTGAAATGGGCCATTTTAAAATAGGTTCACAGTGAGATGTTCAGTTGAGTAGTCCCTACTCCTGGCCCTCTGTCGGTAGTGGTGAAATCTATGAATTGATAGCCCTAAATGTATGAAGAACTTTATTTTCCACTAGCATGTCACTGGCGTTGTGAAGTAAGTGAAAATGAATGTATCATAAATTATAAGGTCTAATAAGAGATTTTAAAATAAACCCTTAAGTTTTTATGTTGTGAGGGAAGTAGCTACAGTCTTTAGAACATTTATTTCAAGTCTCTTGTTCCTGGGGTTACTGCCTTGGAGATTAGATTGAGATTATTTCAGATAAGAGGCCTCTCCCTTGATTTTTAGAGCACCATTTCCCTGGTAGCTCTCATTTGTATGTCTTTATTTAACTCTTAAAATTTTAAGATATTTTAGTGTTTACTTGCCTTTCTAAGTTACATTTCACTTAAACTGTTCTGGTTGGTGAATTCTATTCTAAAATTTTCTCCTAAAATGGTTAGTTTTAACCCCCCCCCCCCAGTTTGTTACATGTTTTCTCATGTAATAATAATTTGGGTTCAGGGAACAGAACTTGTGCTTTCTGTCCTGCTGCCTTCTAGCTCTGTGGTTTTCTGGCAGGAGGATTATGGGCCTAATTAATTATTCTTGGTTTTAAAGGAAGCAGGTTAGAGTTCTTGTTTTTGGAATGGTGCTGTGTAGTCATGTAGCAGCTAGGCATGTTTAGAAGCAGTGTCTGCATTAAGAGGGACATAAGGCAGATGATCTGGGGTCCCTTTCTAACTCTAAGGTTCATGATTATCCTGAATAACTTTATCTGATTAACAATCACACCGGTAACCTCTCATTTGCCATTTTTAATGTCCACTGAAGAGTTGTTGTTAGTGAGTCTAGTCTCAGGGTTACCCTGTATGGTGGCCTTGCAAGGCTTGTTTGATCGCTGACCTAGGAATTGGTAAAGTAGGGGCACATTTGCTATGTTTGTAGGTGACACCAGATTGGAAGATATGATGGTTAAATTAAAGTGAGTATCTTAAAAGATAAAAACAGAACACACGGTAAGTTAACAGGATGTTCAGATTTTTAACTAATGAAATCTAAGGTCAAATGGAGTGTTACTTCTGCAGAGAGGGCTCCAGGAAACACTAGTACAAGGTGGACTTACTGTAGGCAGTTACAGTGGACAATTGCCTACTAGACCCTATAGTTACAAGAATTGTGACATCACCTAAATGTTTTCATTCCAATAGCAGCAATGAAGTAGAAAGACTTTCTTTTCATCTCTGTCTCATTGTAAGGAAGTTTAGTGCTGTCTAAGAGGCCACTTTTGGAGTCAGACTTTCTTGGTTCAAATCTGGGCTCCATTACTAAATTACTTTGCATTGTGGGCAGGTGGCTTAACTGCGTCCTAACCTGTAACAAGAGGCTAGTGCGTACTTCATGCAGGTTGTTCTGAGAATTAAGTTATAATGTGTGGAAAGTACTTATTATTAGGTCAGAAATTGGTTCATAGTAAATTTTCAAATACTATTATTATTTACTTTAGAAAATAAATCACAGAATTATGGATAAATCAGAGTATGTTTATTATCTTGAAGATAGTTTTAAAAACTGGAAGTTCTGGGCTGTCATTTAAGTAGCATCTCAGATACTGATCTTTTCCATGGCAGGGTGTTCAGTCACATTACTGACCCGGCTGTACGCACCATAGGGAGAGCTAGGTAACTGTTAATGGAAATTTTGTTGAACATTACTAGCTTTATTCTAACTTAATATAGTTGATGCCATCCTTTCTGTTCTAGCCCTTAATCACACAGTCACTGGGACCCAAAACTCAGAGTATGGAGACAACAAAAACAGACACTGAAGGCAAACTTAAAGGTAAGTTTTTGAATGAAATTTCCATACTAGGAGTGAAGCATGCTCGAATGTATTACTAGATTTTTTTGAAGACATTTGTTACATTGCACTACTTCATCAGAGAGTTAAATCCATGATGTAAGCACCATGAGGTCAAGAAGTTTTGTATGCTTTGTTCACTGATGTATCTACTACAGTTAGAACTGTAACTAGAACATAGTAGGCATGTGGTAACTAGTGAATGAATGATTAATGAAATTGTTGCTTAATTCAACATGTAGTATTGGCCAAATTATTAAAGTCATCTGTGAAAGCTTCTAGTGTACGTTTCTTTAGACAAAATAGAGGCTTAGTAAGTATTTGCTGAAAGAACGAATTTATATAAGCCCCATTATTTACATTCTTTGTTTTAGCTAAGGAGTATTGTAGAACGTTATTTGCCTATGAAGGTACTAACGAAGATGAACTCACTTTCAAAGAGGGAGAGATAATCCATTTGCTAAGTAAGGTAAGATACTTCTCAGTTTTTCAGTGAATCACTTCTTTTATTCATAGAAATATTTTCCAGTAGTCTTACTAGAATGTAAGCTCTAGAAGGACTGGGACTTTGTCTTGTTTATTTCTGTGACCTGAGAACCTGGCACATAGTAAATGATCAGAAATGTTGTTTTGAGCCAACTTCTGTTGTCTGTCTTTGTTATAATTGATCGGTATTGGAAATTATTTTTACCATCATGTTGTGTTTTTTCTCTAACCCCCATGTTTCTGTTCTCATTTCCTATTTTACCTTATACCATTTTTTTCCCATCTAATGTTCGTTGCATTGTTTGTAATTAAAAAAGAAGAAAAATAGGGGAACAATGAATGTCCATTGATAAGTAAGTGGTTATGAAATGTTATACTGTGGAAAATGTGCAGCTATTTCAAAGAATTGAGGTAGTTTTATAACTTGAATTAAGGAAAAAGAGCCTTAATTATTGGGGTGTGGGCAGAATCCTGTAGTAACTATTTCTAATATAGGAATATTATAAATATTTGTTTTTGCTATAACCCTTTAAAGTGATTTTAGAAATTTCTTCCATTGTTTTAAATTGCCTTAACAGATTGTTCAGTGTGTAATTTAAAATATTTTTTTTTAATTGAAGTATAGTTGACCTACAACACTATGTTAGTTCCAGGTGCACAGCATAGTGATTGGATATTTCCATACACTGTTATTTCTAGTTACCACTGATGTTCTAGTTACCATCTGTCACCATACACAGTTTTTACAATATTATTGACTATATTTCCCATGTTATGTATTTGATCCCTGTGACTCATTTATTTTGTAACTTGAAATTTGTACCTTTTAATTTCGCTTACCTCTTTCGCTCATTCCCCCACCCCTCCCCCTCTGGCTACCACTGGTTCTTTGTGAGTCTGTTTCTGTTCTGTTCTGTTCTGTTTGTTCATTTCTTTGGTTTTTTAGATTCCACATGTAAGTGAGATTTTATGATATTTGTCTTTGTCTGACTTATTTCACTAGCATAATACCATTGAGGTTCATGCATGTTGTCACAAGGCAAGATTTTATTCATTTTTTGGCAGAGTAATATTCCATCACACACAGCGCGCACACACACACACACACACACACACACCTTCTTTATTCATCTACGGATAGACACTTTAGGTTGCTTACATATCTGGGCTATTGTTAGAAATTCTGCAGTGAACATAGGGGTGCATATATCTTTTCAAATTGGTGTTTTTGGTTTTGGAAAAATACCAAGAAGTGAAATTGCTGGATTATATATGATAGTTCTAGTCTTATTTTTTTGCAGAGTCTCCATACTGTTTTCCATAGCAGCTGTAGCAGTTTTACATTCCTACCAAGAGTGCACGAGGGTTCCCTTTTCTCCAAATCCTCGCCAATCCTTGTTGTTTGTTGTCTTTTTAGGCAGTCATTCTGAATGGTGTGAGGTGTTACCTCATTGTGGTTTTGATTTGCATTTCCCTAATGATTAGTGCTGTTGGACATCTATTCATGGGTCTGTTGGCCATCTGTATGTCTCCTTGGGAAAAATGTCTGTTCAGATCCTCTGCTCACTATTTAATTGGGTTGTTAGCGTTTTGATACTGAGTTGTATGAGTTCTTTGTGTATTTTGATTATTAACCCCTTATGGGATACGTTGTTTATAAATATCTTCTCCTATTCGTCAGGCTGCCTTCTGATTTTGTTGATGGCTTCCTTCACTGTGCAAAACCTTCTTAGTTTGATGTAGTCCCGTTTGTTTATTTTTGCTTTCATTTCCTTTTGGGTAGGAGATCTATCCAAAAAAAATACTGCTAAGACCAATGTCAAAGAGCATACTGCCTATGTTTTCTTCTAAGAGTTTTATGGTTTCCGGCCTCACATGTATGTAAGTCTTTAATTCATTTTTGAGTTTATTTTTGTAGATGGTGTGAGAAAGTCCAGTTTGATTCTTCTGTGTGTAGTTGTCTAGTTTTCCCAACACCATTTATTGAAGAGACTGTCTTTTTCCCATTGTGTGTATTCTTGCCTTTGTTGTAGATTCACTGGCCATACAAGTGTAAGTCTATTTCCGGGCTCTCTGTTCTGTTCCGTTAATCTGTGTATGTGTTTTTTGCCGGTGCCATAGTGTTTTGATTACTCCAGCTTTATAGTATAGTTCAGAATCAGGGAGCGTGCTACCTGCAGCATTGTTCTTCTTTCTCAAGAAGAGAAACTTTCTTTGTTTTGACTGTTTAAGGTCCTTTGTGTTTCCATGCAAATTTTGGAATTTTTTATTCTAGTTCTGTCAAAAAATGTCATTGATATTTGTTAGGGATTGCATCGAATCTGTAGATTGCCTCAGGGATTATGGTCATTTTAACAATAGTAATTCTTCCACAAAGATTGCTGCAGGGCCTGGGGGATCCCAGTGCTGGGGCCAGCCCAGTGGTGGGCAAGACTGGCACCCAGAGTACTGGTTGCAGGCCTGGAGAGCGGGGTGGGGCTGATGCTAGCCCACTGGTGGGTGGGGCTGGGGCCCTGTGCAGACTGGCTGCTTAGCTCTGGGGGTGCTGAGACTGGAATTAACCGGCTGATGGGTGTGTATATGCCCTCAGTGCTAATAGGCTAGAGAGAGGATTCCAAAATAGCATTTGCCACCACCAGCGTTCTCATGGTATAATAGGCACAAATGTCTGCTACCAGCTTCCATGACCCCAAGGGAGTCCTGGTTGCCTCTTGCCTCTCCGGTAGGCTCTCCAAGATCAGCAGGTGGGTCTGACCCAGGCTCTTTTCAAATTAATGCCGCTGTCCTGGGTCTTGGAGTATGTGGGATTTTGTGTCTGTTATTCTCTAAAAGCGGAGTCTCTGTTTCCTACCGCTGTCCAGCTCTGGTGCAGCCAGCCTGCGCAGGGACCCAGACCCCACCCCGGGCAGCAACCCCGGGCTGCAGACCCCGGTGTGGGCGCTGACCTCTTACTCGTTCGGGAGAGCCTCTGCAGTGGTGGTCGTCCTGCCATTTGTGCATCGCCTCCCAGGGGTGGGGGTCTTGACTAGACTGTGTCTCTGCCGCACCAGCCCATCTCACTGGGGCTCCTTCTTTGTGTCTTTAATTGTGGAAAATCTTTTCTTCTAGTCATTCTCGTTGGTGGCTGCTGTATTGTAAATAGCTGTAACTTTGGAGAAGGTGAGCCCAGGGTTTGCCTTCTCTGCCATCCTGACCTGTCCCCCCAGTGTATGTTAATTTTTCATATACATGCAGGTAGGACTGGTAACACCTAATTTCTCGTAGAAGGGTGTGTGGTGTTTGGAAGGAGTTGTAGAAGACTCTTAATTTCTAAAACAAATAAATAATGTGATTAGTTTTTGGTGTATTATGTGTTGAAAAGAATGTTAAGATATAGTTTGGAAATTTATGTTCTCTCTCTGCTTTCCTCTTCCACTTCCTTTCCTTTTTTCCTTTCTCCTCTCCCCCTGAGAAGTTCTTATCCTTGTAAACTGAATTTTTAAATTATTTGACTTACTAAAAATTGAAACTTACTACTACTTGAAGTATTATGTGGGGAATATTTTTTTAGGAGGACGTCACATCCTGTTGAAGGTTTTTTTTTTAACATTTTTTATTGATTGATAATCATTTTACAATGTTGCATCAAATTCCAGTGTAGAGCTCAATTTTTCAGTTATACATGAACATATATATATTCATTGTCACATTTTTTTCTCTGTGAGCTACCATAAGATCTTGTATGTATTTCCCTGTGCTATACAGTATAATCTTGTTTATCTATTCTACAATTTTGAAAAAAATCTAAACTGTTGAAAGCTTTTATTTTTCCTTGTAAAAATAATGGAACTCAGTATTTTCCTATTTTGTTGCTAACTTTTTTCTTATTTAAAGGTAACCCCTATTTTAATTATTCTTCATCTTGCATTGTAGGAGACTGGGGAACCTGGCTGGTGGAAGGGTGAACTTAATGGTAAAGAAGGAGTATTTCCAGACAATTTTGCTGTTCAGATAAATGAACTGGATAAGGACTTTCCTGTAAGCTTTTCTTGTTCACTGCTGATAATAATTTTAAAAAAGCCCAAAAAACCTCTTGCCAGTATTGCTTAAAAAAACAAGTTTTTTTGCGTGGTTACTGAATAATTTTTTGAGGAGGTTTCAGATTTATGTAATCAAATGAAAGTTGTTTGGAGTGTGGTAAAGCAAACCAGTATATCAGTTTTGTGCTTTATTTCTGTTTTTCTTCTCCTCTGACTAAAAAGTAACCTTAAATTTTATTACTTTATTATAGTTAAAAGAAAAAAAGGCTGATCATACTGTTATAAACAGATTAATACTTCAGTTGTAAGAAATTGTACTTTTATTTAATTTTGTTGAAAAATTTTGTTTTAAGGTACTATTGATCTTACTACTATTCTGTCACTGCATTTTTGGGAGGGCGAGGAGAAGGCTTTACCTCTTGACAGTATTTAATGTGTCTGTCCCACCTCTCACAGTTAATAAAGTGAGACTGAATTGTTCGTCAGCGATCTTTTGCTTTTCTACAACTTGATTTTTTTTTTTTTTGCCTGTGGAGGGATGAATCTGATTAAGTTTTTAAATTAGAGGGAAAGAGAATTTTACAGAAAACAGAGACACTACAGCAAGACAGTCTGCCATATTTGATTTAAGCCAATGCAGAAATCTCTAACCTTTGCAGTCTTTCATTTAGAATAAATTACTAGAGGATAATGTGTGAAGGCTTATGCTGTCTGAGACCCTTCCGTTGCTAGATTTCACTCAGCATTGATTCAGCAACGTTCAGTGTGCTTTATTTTTATACTCGTTTTAGTGAACTTTTTTTTTCTGCTTTTATTAGGTGTTTATGCAGTACTGATTATCAGTTATTTTTAATTTGGAAAAACCAAATTCACATACTTAGAAATGTGTCTCAAGTTTTTTAAGGCATTAAATTAAGGCTGAAATGAATGAATGCTTATAAACCCGAGAGAATTTTAATAAATTGAGGAAAAACAGACCTTTGCTTTTAATCTTCTCTTTGAGAGTTCTGAAGAGTGAAAGTTAGATATATTTATTAGCTACTCCATCTTTTTCTTTTTAAACACAGTCTCTCTCCCTTTCCCTGCTACCTTCCTCTCTCCCCCACAACAACAACAAAAAACCCTCAGCTGTTAAACAGGGGTAAAATGGTGCATAGGAATCTTAAAATAGTGGAGGCAGAACAGAACATTTTTGCTCATCAAGATTTTTTAAAGTTTATCTAACTCAGTGATAATTTCTGAAATGTTTGAGTTTTGATCAAGAAGACGTTTGTTCTAATAGAATACGTGTTTGGTCTCTGATCTTTTGTGGGGTTGTTTGGATCTTATTTTATAATTTTTATTTTATCATTTTATAATTTTTGTCAGAGATGGGATGAGGAGAGATGTTTACATAATTTAAGATTATTTACAATCAGAATTTAATTATAAATATTTAATATGTAAATGTTTTACTGTTTTCACTATTATTATTTTAATAGAAACCAAAGAAACCACCACCACCTGCTAAGGGTCCAGGTATGTAAGAGACAGATTATTCAGTTTGCTATTTTTCATATTTTAAGTTCTAAAATAGTGAAACTGGGTCTTCTATAAACCATTGATTTTCTTTAAGCAAAAATCAAATATTATGGTGCTATGTATCAATTTTTTTAAATATATGAAAATTGAGCGTTCATATGTATTAATATTGTCAGTATTTTTTTAAGTACAAACTATAAAATAGGAATCTTAGAAAACAACTTGGATATTTCTGTTATATCACATTTCGGGTTAAGAAAATTGACTAAGCTTAAATCTGTATAGAAAATATATTTACCTAGCTAAGAAGTCATTCTACCTTTTGAGATGCACTCCATTTTTTTAATGTCTCAGACAAATACTGATTATTTATGTGCTCTTCTTTTAGAGAGTGTGATAAGGCTTAAGCAAAGAGAAGTTTTGTTACTTCTTTTTAAACAGTTGAATAAATGATGTTATACCTAGAAAAGTTTTCCAGAAGTTTTGTAATCTCTCTTGCTTGCTTGCTTCCTTCCTTCCTTCCCTCCTTCCTTCTCTCTCCTTCTCCTTCCTTCCTCTCTCTCTCTCTCTCTCTCTCCGTCTCCTCTCTCTCTTCTCTCTCTCTCTCTCTCTCTCTCTCTCTCTCTCCTCTCTCTCTTC